AGCCGCCACGGCCTCCGGTTCGGCCCCGGCTTGAACCTCCGCGATCCGACGGTGGAGCTCGGCGTTGCGATTGACGAGGCCCCCAATGACTCGGCCTACGTCACGCACCCTGTCCATCAGGGCCGTTGCGTAGTGGAGACCCTACATAAGAGGAAATAGGTCAAGAAGGTCGGCGTCGGACAGACGAACCAGAAAAGCGGAAACACACTTACCCAGATCAGTGACTGGGCCGACGTGTTGAGCAACGCCTCCGATGGCAGGACATACAAGTCCCGAGCCATATCAGGATGGAGTGCCTCTCGGAGGAACGCCGCGGAGGGATCTCCTCCGGCCCACACCTTAGACCCCCAGGACAAACCCTCCCAGCAGGCAACCAGGGGGTCGCTGAGCTCACCGAGCAGGATCTCGCTCGCCAGCCGCGTCAGGTACGGCTCCCCGTCTCCGGCAGGGAGCCGGTAGAGGTCGCGCACGGAGACAGGGTGAAGACCCTTCCCGGTCGTACGCTGACTGGGGCTAGCCCCTCCGCGACGAGAACTCGCCTCGGGCCCCCTCGACGGGGTTGTCTTCGCCTTATTCGAAGGGCGCCCAGCCTCGACCTCCAGCGGGGCACCCTCCGAGCCGGGTAGCGGGTCGGTCGGCGGAGCTAGAATTGGAGGTTGCGGATCGCCTGACGAAGCTGGAAGGGAGGGCTCCGAACCCTAATCCCCCAGGAGCGAACGAAGGTTCACCATATCTGCAAGAAGCGGAAGAAGTTAGTACCCGAGGCCAACCACCCGAACGCTCGGACCAAACGTCATTAACGTACCCAAAGGCATCGGGCTGAGGCCCGCCTCGACCAGCCATTGCTCGGTCATGGTACGGATGGCCTGCGACCTAGGGAGAATCTCTTTGAGCCTCCCCAGAGCTTGGCGCTCTGCCTCGCCCAAATAGGGGGTGGTGTTGTCGATCGCTCTCGTGGACCACCGAACCCCGAAGCCCCAGTCCCGTACGCGGCTAACATAAAAAAACCTCCCCTTCCATCCCTTGTTACTAGAAGGGGCACCCCCGACTCGAAAACCCGTCCGGGCTGACAAGAAATAGCCCCACGAATCCTTGCAGAGGCGATAGCAGGAGAGAAAGAGGTTATGGGTGGGGGTGATGTTGGCGTAATGGCATTCCCCCAGGAATACCACCAGGTAACGCCAAGAGTTCGGCGCCACCTGAAACGGTGAAATCCGCCAGAATGACAGGCAAGACACTATGAGGGGATGAAGAGGAAAACGTAAACCCGCCTCCAGGGCGTCGAGGGTCAGGAGCACTGAGGATATGGTCCTCCGGGATACTATAGCGCACCCGGAGCTCCTCCAGCAAGGCCCCGCTCACGGTGGAATTAATGTCGTGCGGCCACATCAGAGCCTCAAGGGCTCGTGCCGCTTCTCCATCAGAAGACCCAGCAGGGGACGGAGGGGGATTTCCCTCCCCGGCTCCGAGGACGTAAAGAGAAGAAGAGGATGGAGAGGAAGGAGGGGAAGAAGGGGGCGACACCTCAACTGACCTTAAAAAGAGGGAAAGAGTACGCAGAAGACTAGGAAGGGGACTACGGAGGTGACAGCGTAACTCGAAGAAGAAAATACGGCAGCGAAAGATGGAGGCGGAGTCGAGCCTCCGCTATTTAAAGGGGATAGCTCGTCAGAACCAATGCCGCTTCGCTTCCCGAGAACGGGTGGCAGCCCACTCGCGCGCGTGCGAAACCGTCCCGTCGCATCGGGAGACCCCTAAAGGCGCTCCGCATTAATGAGGGCCTGACGTGGCAGCCAGCGACAACGCGGTGCGAAGTACGGAGGCACCCAATCATATCAGCCTCGAAAACTGGCAACTTCCAAAAGGGGTAGCCCTTTACCTTCCCCAGGGAAAAAACAACCTGGCCTCCCGTGCTCGCGCGAAGTTAGACGACCAATCGCCGGCCAAAGAACCAAGTACCACCTCGGTCGCAGCCTGCCTGCGCCGAGCACCCCACACACACACTACCTCGGCGCGGCCTGCCCACCTCCGACGTGTCCCTCGGCCGCATGGTGCCCGAGACCACTTCCTCGCGTCCTGCCCGCCTGCTCGTGCTACTCGGCCGCACGGCCCTCGCGACCACACCTACGCGGTCTGCTCGCCTGCATCGTGCTCCTCGGCGGCGTGATGACCGAGACCACACCTACGCGGCCTGCCCGCCTGCGTCGTGCTCCTCGCTTCCATCATCCCCGAGACACACCTGCGCGACCGGCCCGCCTGCGTCGTGCTCCTTGGCTCCGTGTTCCCGAGACAGGGCAGCGCCGCCAGTACGCTTGCGTCATGCCCCTCGACTCCATAAACCCCGAGGCACGCCTACACGGTCAGCCTGCCCACACCAAACTCCTCGGCCGCATGGTGCCCGAGACCACTTCCTCACGTTCTACCCGCCTGCTCGTGCTACTCGGCCGCACGGCCCTCGCGAACACACCTGCGCGGTTTGCTCGCCTGCGTAGTGCTCCTCGGCGGCGTGATGACCGAGACCACACCTGCGCGGCCTGCCCGCCTGCGTCGTGCTCCTCGCTTCCATCATCCCCGAGACACACCTGCGCGACCGGCCCGCCTGCGTCGTGCTACTTGGCTCCGTGTTCCCGAGACAGGGCAGCGCCGCCAGTACGCCTGCGTCGTGCCCTCGGCTCTATAAACCCCGAGGCACGCCTACGCGGTCAGCCTGCCCGCGCCGAACTCCTCGGCCGCATGGTGCCCGAGACCACTTCCTCGCGTCCAGCCCGCCTGCTCGTGCTACTCGGCCGCACGACCCTCGCGACCACACCTGCGCGGCCAGCCCGCCTGCGTTGTGCTCCTCGGCCCTCGGCTTCACGCCATCCGAGACCACACCTGCGCGGCCAGCCCACCTGCGTTGTGCTCCTCGGCCCGCGGTTTCACGCCATCCGAGACCACACCTGCGCGGCCAGCCCGCCTGCGTTGTGCTCCTCGGCCCTCGGCTTCACGCCATCCGAGACCACACCTGCGCGGCCAGCCCGCCTGCGTTGTGCTCCTCGGCCCTCGACTTCATGCCATCCGAGACCACACCTGCACGGCCAGCCCGCCTGCGTTGTGCTCCTCGGCCCTCG